CCCACCTGTGCCCTCGCTGGCCCCTCCTGCTGATCCGTGCAGCGAGCCCTTCCCCTAACACTGCGTCCGGCCTGTCCGGGGGGCACAAGGCAGCAGGGCCCGGGGCGAAGGGGTGGGAAGGAGGGAGGATTTCTCCGGGCTGGGCTGAAGTTTGGGCCAGAGGGACGCTAATCCCTTAAGGACGTGCTGCAGACTGCTCCTCGGCCCCGCCAGCTGCTAACGGCAGCACAGGGGGCTGGGTTTCTAACTCGCTCCTAGGGACCCTCTGCTCTCCTTTGTCAGCCGCACCACCTCTGGGGCAGTCAGCAGGGTAAGTCTGCGGGGTGACCCTCCTCTCCAGTGGCCTTCCGTGTAGGAGGGCAGGACTGGAAGGGACCTCAAGGACCTGCGAGCACCACCTTCTGCAGCTTGGGTGACTCCAAGACAGGCTTTGTCCAGGAGGATGCCGCGAGCCTCCATTTCAGGACTGCAACGCACAGAACTTCAGCAATCCTACGGCTTCTAGGACAGAAGTTCAGACCAAGCCTCCACACAAGAGACGAAGGGGCTGGAGCCTGGGGCATTAGTTTTGCTGAGGTGGTGCTGAGAAACTAACCACTTGCAGGTCGCAAAAAATCACCTCTGCAGACCCGCACAGAAGTCCTCTCGGCCCCCCGGTTTGCTCATCTGTTGCCGCCATTTACACATGCGGGGGATAGGCCGAACAAGCCACAGTGCATCAAAGGAAAAAAAAATATTTTCTAGCTCCTGCATGACTAATAGAAACCCTAATGCATTGGCTTGATATAACAAAACTATGCCATAACAAACTTGAAAAGCAAGCAGTGCTCTCGAGCTACCCTTGAGACACCAACAAATCAAACACCCAACGACTCAAATCACAAGCTTGAATTTCTAACTGAAGGACCACCCCTCCTGTGTCATCCACTCCCCTCATGTTTCTACATTAATTTTCACTTGGGATTGCAGTCTCCATTTCTTACCCAGGCAAATCTCCCACTGAAACCAGAGAAGTAGGGTCAGGCCCTGGGTATGCAATACCTGCCATACATACCTGTGTTACACTAGAGGAAGGACCTGGTGGGAGTAAAATTTAGTTGATTTCAGCATTTGTCAACATTACAGTGGGCAAAGAGGAATTGTGGATAAGATTTCTGTTAAAATTAAGAAAAGCGCTAGGAAATACTTCCACTGAGAAATTTGTTTGCATAGGAAATCATGAGAAATCTATCTGTATGGGTAGAATACAGAGCTTCTTAAATGTCTTACGTACAGCTTCAAGTTCCAGAGCGACTCTAAGATTCCTTACCAGACTCGCAGCTTAAGTCTGTGGAAATAGATTAGAGTAATACTAGCACTGTGCTTTTCTGAGTAGCTGAAATTACTCTGCAAGCGTGCATACAGAGTTGGCTGTGAACCTTTATAATGACTAATACTAAAGCCTGTAACATATATTACAAAGTAAAAGAGAGTAAAGTAAGCTCAGAGATGCTAAGTGTTTTAAACTCATAAGCTGGCTAGTGAATCGTAACTGTGCCATGCTCACATACATTTTGTGGGCTGGAAACATCTGATCCTTGACTCATTACAAGAAAACGAGAAAACACAGAAAACACCTAGAGAAGGATAGTCTTGAAGTGGGCATCATTTTGCTATTGCCCAGTTATTTTATTTTTGATTTCTCATCATCTTCACACATCTTCAGACTTTACTGGACTTCGATGGTCCGCAAACCATCAAAATAATTTAAATATTTTGCAATTGTGAAATTTCCAGTTCTTAAAAAAAAATACTGCTAGATGTAAAGTGTCCAAGGGCACTTTTTTGTCCAAGGGCAAAGAGTCTTAATAAATACAGAATAATAGCCAAAGGAGTTGCTCACTTGGTTTCCTGATGAATGTACTAACTTTGATGTGGTGTCCAGAGAAAATAAGAAGTTATACTTTTGTGATAAGATGCCTTTCATTTAGGAGATACCACCAAATATACTTGTAATATCTTGCCTCTGGATCTCCAAGCAAGTGAATTTACAGTCAAAATGGCAAGAAACAATGCCTTTACAGTTCATTCCAAAAAGATTCACATTGTTTGCTACATGTATTTAGAGAGATACTCTCCTTCTCATAGAGGCGGGAGCCTAAACTGAGCTACTGGGACAAGAAGCTAGCTGTGAAACATTATAGAAAAGAGTAAAGAGATCTTTATAGAAAAAGCAGCTTTTGCAAGGTACTGTGGTCCTCTGCCCGTGGGACCCAATAGCACAAATGGGAGCTGCCTGGCTTTACGCTGAAATAAACAAATAAAGTTTAGAGGGCTTTTCACCCACAGATCTTAAACTGCTACAGTGCAGGAATAAGTCGAGTGCTCCCTGTAACTTGCCTCCTTCTGCACCTGGGATCAGCACCGCAAGACCTGCCCAGACCAAAAAGAAGACGTCTCTCTGGAGCAAGGCCGCAGGCGGTGGAGGATGGAGACAGGCCCTGGGGGGTTGAGCACCGTGCCCGTCCACGCAGGCTCTCCCTCTGCCAGCACCAGCGCTCCCGGCAGGGGCAGCGCC